AGAATTCCCTGGAAAAACGATCCCTGGACCTTCTGATCCATTGGAATTTGGGCAGAATTCCCAGGAAAAATGATCCTTGGGATCTCTGATCATCGGAATTTGGGCAGAATTCCCTGGAAAATCCATCCCTGGACCTTCTGATCCATCGGAATTTGGGCAGAATTCCCTGGAAAATCCATCCCTGGATCCTCTGATCCTTCCTAATTAAAGATTGGGAGCAGAATTCCCTGGAAAAATGATCCTTGGGATCTCTGATCCATCGGAATTTGGGCAGAATTCCCTGGAATCTCTCCCATTTTTCCACCCTTTTTTTCCAGAGGCTCTCCCAGATTTTTTTGGGAGCAGAAAAAACCTGGAATGAGGAGCAGGTTGGGAATTCCCGAGGGGTTTTTTTCTGCCTTGGGATGGGGGAAATCCCTTGGAAAAAGGGGATTTTTTAAGGGGTTTTTTTAGGGAATCTCTCCCGTTTTTCCCCCTCCTTTTTCCAGAGGCTCTCCCGGATTTTTTTGGGAGTAGGAAAAGCCTGGAATGAGGAGGAATTTGGGAATTCCCGAGGGGTTTTTACCTGGAAAAACTTTTCCTGCTGGGAAAATCCTTGGAAAAAAGGGATTTTTTAAGGTTTTTTTTAGGGAATCTCTCCCATTTTTCCACCCTTTTTTCCAGAGGCTCTCCCAGATTTTTTTGGGAGCAGGAAAAACCTGGAATGAGGAGGAATTTGGGAATTCCCGAGGGGGTTTTTTCTGCCTTGGGATGGGGAAAATCCCTTGGAAAAAAGGGATTTTTAAAGGTTTTTTTTTTTAGGGAATCTCTCCCATTTTTCCACCCCTTTTTCCAGAGGCTCTCCCGGATTTTTTGGGAGCAGGAAAAACCTGGAATGAGGAGCAGGTTGGGAATTCCCGAGGGGTTTTTTTCAGCCTTGGGAAGGGGAAAATCCTTGGAAAAAGTGGATTTTAAAGGGGTTTTTTTAGGGAATCTCTCCCATTTTTCCCCCTCTTTTTTCCAGAGGCTCTCCGGGATTTTTTTGGGAGCAGAAAAAGCCTGGAATGAGGAGGAGGAGGAGGAGGAGAAGGAAAGGAATCCTCGGACCGATCAGGGAGGGAGGGAGAGGCCTCTTTGAAATCCGAGTGGGGATTTTTTTTGTTTTCTGTTTTTTTTTCGGTTTATTTGAATTTTTCTTTATTTTTTTGGGATTTGGGAGCGGCTCCAAAGGGAACCGATCCAAAGGGAGTGGATCCAAAGGTTTGGTGCCTCCTTCCCCCTCCCCCCCTCCCCCTTCCAGGCGTGAATTGTTTGGGATCCAAAGATCAAAGGATTAAAAAAAAAAACCGGGATGAACTCGCCTTGAACTTCCCTCTCTTTTCCCTTTTCCAGGGGTTTTTCCAGAGGTTTTCCAGGGGGATTTAATCCCTTGGGAATTGTTGGGGGCAGAGGGGTCTGGCAGGGTTTTTTTCCCACTTTTTGGGATCCTCCCAATCCCAAAATCTCCCCCAGAATTGGGATTTTGGGATGGGATGGAATAACCTCGATTTTCCCTCTCTCTTCCCTTTTCCAGGGGTTTTTCCAGAGGTTTTCCAGGGTTTTTTCCAGGGGTTTTCCAGGGGGATTTAATCCCTTGGGAATTGGAGCCTTTCCCACTTTTTGGGATCCTCCCAATCCCAAAATCTCCCCCAGAATTGGGATTTTGGGATGGGATGGAATAACCTCGATTTTCCCTCTCTGTTCCCTTTTCCAGGGGTTTTCCAGGGGTTTTCCAGGTGGGATTTAATCCCTTGGGAATTGTTGGGGGACAGAGGAGCCTCTCCCGCTTTTTGGGATCCTCCAAATCCCAAAATCTCCCCCAGTTTCGAGTCCAGAACCTCGAATTCCAGAGGAAATTCCCATCCCATCCCATTCCATAAACCCTTCCCAAATCCCTCCCTTTGGGATCCTCCAAATCCCAAAATCTCCCCCAGTTTCGAGTCCAGGACCTCGAATTCCAGAGGAAATTCCCATCCCATCCCATTCCATCAACTCTTCCCAAATCCCTCCCTTTGGGATCCTCCAAATCCCAAAATCTCCCCCCAGAATTGGAATTTTGGGATGGGATGGAATAACTTGGGATGGGATGACTCGCCTCAATCTTCCCTCTCTGTTCCTCAGGGGTTTTCAGGGGTTTTCAGGGTTTTCCAGAGGTTTTCCAGGGGGATTTAATCCCTTGGGAATTGTTGGGGGCAGAGGGACCTGTCAGGGGTTTTTTCCCACTTTTTGGGATCCTCCAAATCCCAAAATCTCCCCCAGAATTGGGATTTTGGGATGGGATGGAATAACCTCGAACTTCCCTCTCTCTTCCCTTTTCCAGGGGTTTTTCCAGGGGTTTTCCAGGTGGGATTTAATCCCTGGGAATTGTTGGGGAGCAGAGGGGCTCTGTCCCAGGGAATTTCCCCACTTTCATCGGGATCTCTCCAAATCCCAAAATCTCCCCAGAATTGGAATTTTTGGGATGGGATGGAATAACCTCAAATTTCCTCTCTCTCCCTTTCCAGGGTTTTCCAGGGGTTTTCAGAGGTTTTCCAGGGGATTTAATCCCTTGGAAATTGGAGCCTTCCTCCACTTTTGGGATCCTCCAAATCCCAAAATCTCCCCAGAATTGGGATTTTGGGATGGGATGGAATAACCTCAACTTCCCTCTCTTCCCTTTTCAGGGGTTTTCCAGGTTTTCAGGGATTTAATCCCTTGGGAATTTTGGGGGCAGAGGGACCTGTCAGGGTTTTTCCACTTTTGGGATCCTCCAAATCCCAAAATCTCCCCAGAATTGGAATTTTGGGATGGGATGGAATAACCTCGATTTTCCTCTCTGTTCCCTTTTCAGGGGTTTTCCAGGGGTTTTCAGGGTTTTCCAGGGATTTAATCCCTTGGGAAGTGGAGCCTCTTCCCACTTTTTGGGATCCTCCAAATCCCAAAATCTCCCCCTAGAATTGGAATTTTGGGATGGGATGGAATAACCTCGATTTTCCCTCTCTCTTCCCTTTTCCAGGGGTTTTCAGGGGTTTCAGGGTTTTCCAGGTGGGATTTAATCCCTTGAGAATTGTTGGGGGCAGAGGGACCTGTCAGGGGTTTTTTCCCACTTTTTGGGATCCTCCAAATCCCAAAATCTCCCCCAGTTTCGGGTCCAGGACCTCGAATTCCAGAGGAAATTCCCATCCCATCCCATTCCATAAACCCTTCCCAAATTTCCCTCTCTTTGGGATCCTCCAAATCCCAAAATCTCCCCCAGAATTGGGATTTTGGGATGGGATGGAACAACCTCGAATTTCCCTCTCTCTTCCCTTTTCCAGGGTTTTTCCAGGGTTTCCAGGGTTTTCCAGGGGGATTTAATCCCTGGGAATTGGTGAGAGGGACGCTTTCCCACTTTTGGGATCCTCCCAATCCCAAAAATCTCCCAGTCCATTGGAGTTTTTGGAGGATGGATGCCAGGACCTGGGAATTCTTCCAGGTAGTCCAGATTCCATCAGCTCTTCCCGATTTCCCACTTTTGGGATCTCCAAATCCCAAAATCTCCCCCAGTTTCGAGTCCAGAACCTCGAATTCCAGAGGAAATTCCCATCCCATCCCATTCCATCACCATCAATCCCATCCCCAAATCCCAATTTCTCAACCCAAAATCCCAATTTTCCCAACCTCTCCAAACTTCCCATTTTCTCTCACCACAAATCTCCATTTTTCCACCCCAAAAATCCCCCATTTCCCACCCCAAAATCCCAATTTTTCAACCCCAAATCTCCCGATTTTCTCCCAAATCCCATCCAAAATCCCAATTTTTTAACCCAAAATCCCACACTTTTCACCCCCAACTCCCCATTTCTCAACCCATCAAATTCGACTTCTAACCCCATCTCACCACCAAATCCCGATTTTCAACCGCAAATTCCTCATTTTTTCCACCAAATCCTATTTTTTTAACCCCAAATCCCATTTCCTCCCCCCATCAAATGCCGATTTTTCAACCCCAAACCCCCCATTTTTTACCCCAAATCCCCATTTTTTTACCCAAAATCCCCATTTTTTTACCCAAAATCCCCATTTTTCCACCCCAAATCTCGATTTTTCCACTCCAAGTCTCGATTTTTCCACCCCAAACCCCAACTTTTCCACCCAAATCCCCATTTCTCAACCCAAAAATTCCGCTTTTTTTCAACCAAACCCCCATTTTTCCACCGCAAGTCCCAATTTTTGAACCCAAAAAATTCTGATTTTTTCAACCAAACCCCCATTTTTTTACCCCAAAAATTCTGATTTTTCATCCAAAATTTCGATTTTTTCAACCAAATCCCCATTTTTGAACTCAAAAATTCCGATTATTTTACCCAAAAATTCCGATTTTTTCAACCAAACCCCCATTTCTCAACCCAAAATTCCTGATTTTTCACCCCAAAATTTCGATTTTTTCAACCAAACCCCCATTCTTGAACCCAAAAAATTCCAATTTTTTCAAGCAAACCCCCATTTCTCAACCCAAAAATTCCGATTTTTTCAACCAAATCTCAAATTTTCCACTCCAAAATTCCCATTTTGAACCCAAAAATTCCAATTTTCTCAACCAAACTGCGACTTTTCCGCTCCAAAATCCTGATTTTTCAACCCAAAAATTCCGATTTTTTTACCCAAAATTCCGATTTTTTCACCCAAATCCCGATTTTTGAACCCAAAAATTCCGAATTTTTCAACCAAACCCCCATTTTTGAACCCAAAAATTCCGATTTTTCAACCCAAAAATTCCGATTTTTTTACCAAAAATTCCTATTTTTTCACCCAAAATTCAGATTTTTTTACCCAAAAATTCTGATTTTTTCAACCAAATCCTGATTTTTCCACTCCAAAATTCAGATTTTTTTCAACCAAACTCCCATTTTTCAACGCAAAAATTCAGATTTTTGACCAAAAATTCCGATTTTTTCCCCCAAAATTCCGATTTTTTCTCCCCAAATGCAATCCCATAAATAAAAACTCATTTTTTTACATACTTTTGGTAGTCCTTGGGGCAGAAGATCCTCCTGTCCCTGGCGAAGCAGCGCTCCGAGAGGCCGGTGGCGCAGACGGAGCATTTGAGGCATCGCTCGTGCCAGGCTCGCTCGCGGATCCGCAGCAGGAACCGCTCCACGATCCGGCACTGGCACCCCGAGCAAACCCACCCTGACGAGTCTGGGGGAAAAAAAAGGGAAAAAACACCCCAAAAAATGGGGAGGATTTGGGGGTTTTTATTATTTTATTTTTTTCCAAAAATTCCGATTTTTTTGCCAAAAATTCCGATTTTTTTAACCAAAAATTCCGATTTTTTTTACCCAAAATTCCAATTTTTTTTTTGTTTTTTTGTGGGTTTTTGTGGGGTTTTTGTGTGTGTTTTGTTTTTATTTTATTTTATTTTATTTTATTTTATTTTGGTTTTTTTTGCTTCATTTCATTTTATTTTATGTTATTTTATTTTATTTTATTTATGTTTTATTTTGGTTTATTTTATTTTCTTTTTCTTTATTTTGGTTTTTTTTTGCTTTATTTTATTTTATGGTATTTCATTTTATTTTATTTTATTCTATTTTATTTTATTTTGGTTTATTTTATTTCATTTAATTTTGTTTTATTTTATTCTATTTTATTTTATTTTGGTTTATTTTATTTTTTGTTTATTTTATTTTTATTTTATTTTTAGCCGGCGCAGCAGGAAGCGCTCCACAATCCGGCACTGGCACCCCGAGCAAACCCACCCTGACGAGTCTGGGGGAAAAACACCAAAAAATGGGGGAGGATTTTTTTACAAAAAATTCCGATTTTTTTGCCAAAAATTCCGATTTTTTTAACCAAAAATTCCGATTTTTTTACCCAAAATTCCGATTTTTTTACCCAAAATTCCAATTTTTTTACAATTTTTTTTTGTTTTTGGGGGGTTTTTTGTGGTTTTTTTTTATTTTGTTTAATTTAATTTAATTTATTTTAATTTAATTTTATTTTATTTTGGTTTATTTTATTTTGGTTTATTTTATTTTATTTTATTTTTGGTTTATTTTATTTTATTTTTGGTTTATTTTGTTTGGTTTTGGTTTATTTTATTTTATTTTATTTTATTTCATTTTTGGTTTATTTTATTTTATTTCATTTTATTTTATTCTATTTTATTTTATTTTGGTTTATTTTATTTCATTTAATTTTGTTTTATTTTATTCTATTTTATTTTATTTTGGTTTATTTTATTTTTTGTTTATTTTATTTTTATTTTATTTTTAGCCAGCGCAGCAGGAAGCGCTCCACGATCCGGCACTGGCACCCCGAGCAAACCCACGCCGAGGAGTCTGGGGGAAAAAAAAGGGAAAAATCAAAAAAAATTGGGGAGGATTTAGGGTTTTCTTATTTTTTATTTTTTTTCCAAAAATTCCGATTTTTTTACCAAAAATTCCGATTTTTTTACCCAAAATTCCAATTTTTTTACAATTTTTTTTGTTTTTTGGGGGGTTTTTTGTGGTTTTTTTTGGTGTGTTTTGTTTTTATTTTATTTTATTTTTATTTTATTTTGGTTTTTTTGCTTTATTTTATTTTATTTTGGTTTATTTTATTTTATTTTATTTTATTTTATTTTGGGTTTTTTTGCTTAATTTTATTTTATGTTATGTCACTTTATTTTATTTTATTTTATTTTATTTTATTTTTCTTTATTTTGTTTTTTTTTGCTTTATTTTATTTTATTTTATGGTATTTCATTTTATTTTATTCTATTTTATTTTATTTTGATTTATTTTATTTTATTTTGTTTTATTTTATTTTTTATTTTATTTTTATTTTATTTTATTTTTATTTTATTTTATTTTATTTTTGGGTTTTTTTGCTTTATTTTATTTTATGTTATTTTATTTTATTTTTTGTTTATTTTATGGTATTTTATTTTATTTTGCTTTATTTTGGGGTATTTTATTTTATTTTATTTATTTTTATTTTATTTTATTTTATTTTATTTTATTTTATTTTTGGTTTGCTTTGTTTATATTTTGTTTACTTTATTCCCAAATCCTCATTCCCAAATCCTCATCCTCATTCCCAAATCCTCATTCCCAGATTTTAATCCTCATTCCCAAATTTTCATTCCCAAATCCTCATCTTCATTCCCAAACCCTCATTCCCAAACCCTCATTCCCAAATCCTCATTCCCAGATTTTCATCCTCATTCCCAAACCCTCATTCCCAAATCCTCATCCCCAAATCCTCATTCCCAAATCCTTGCCCTCATTCCCAGATTTCCATCCTCATTCCCAAATCCTCATTCCCAAACCCTCATTCCCAAATCTTCATCCTCATCCCCAAAACCTCGCCCTCATTCCCAGATTTTCATCCTCATTCCCAAACCCTCATTCCCAAACCCTCATCCCAAAATCCTCATTCCCAAATCCTCATCCCCAAAATCCTCATCCCCAAAATCCTCACCCTCATTCCCAAATCCTCATTCCCAAATCCTCATTCCCAAACCCTCATTCCCAAACCCTCATTCCCAAATCCTCATTCCCAAACCCTCATCCCCAAATCCTCATTCCCAAATCCTCATTCCCAAATCCTCATTCCCAAATCCTCATCCTCATCCTCATCCTCATTCCCAAATCCTCATTCCCAACTCTTCATCCTCATTCCCAAATCCTCGCCCTCATTCCCAGATTTTCATCCTCATTCCCAAACCCTCATTCCCAAATCTTCATCCTCATTCCCAAATCCTCATTCCCAAATCCTCATTCCCAAATCTTCATCCTCATTCCCAAATCCTCATTCCCAAATCCTCATTCCCAAATCCTCGCCCTCATTCCCAGATTTTCATCCTCATTCCCAAATCCTCATTCCCAAATCTTCATCCTCATTCCCAAATCCTCATTCCCAAATCCTCATTCCCAAATCCTCATTCCCAAACCCTCATTCCCAAATCCTCATTCCCAAATCCTCATTCCCAACTCTTCATCCTCATCCCCAAAACCTCGCCCTCATTCCCAGATTTTCATCCTCATTCCCAAATCCTCATTCCCAAACCCTCATTCCCAAATCCTCATTCCCAAATCCTCATTCCCAAATCCTCATTCCCAACTCTTCATCCTCATTCCCAAAACCCTGCCCTCATTCCCAGATTTTCATCCTCATTCCCAAATCCTCATTCCCAAACCCTCATTCCCAAATCCTCATTCCCAAATCCTCATTCCCAAATCCTCATTCCCAACTCTTCATCCTCATTCCCAAAACCTCGCCCTCATTCCCAGATTTTCATCCTCATTCCCAAATCCTCATTCCCAAACCCTCATTCCCAAATCCTCATTCCCAAACCCTCATTCCCGAATCCCTCCCCCTCCCCCCTGGAAGATCCAGCGCCCCGGCCCTCACCGAGTCCCGGCTCCTCTTGGAGACACGAGGGAGCCTCCTCCGGCTTCATCCCGGAGGCGGCGGAGGGAGGAGGAGCCGGGAAAAAACCGGGATAGGATCGGGATAGGACCGGGATAACACCGGGATAACACTGGAGAAAGAGCCGGGAGAAAACCGGGATAGGACCGGGATAGGACTGGGATAACACCGGGAGGGGACCGGGAGAAGGAACTGGGAGAAGGAGGCAGGAGAAAACCGGGATAGGACTGGGATAACACCGGGAGGGGACGGGGAGAAGGAGCCGGGAAAACACCGGGATAGGACCGGGATAACACTGGGATAACACCGGGATAACACCAGGAGAAGGAGCCAGGAGAAAACCGGGATAGGACCGGGATAAGACCGGGAGAGGAGCAGGAGAAGGAGTGGGGGAAGGAGCCGGGAGAAAACCGGGATAGGACCGGGATAGGACTGGGATAACACCGGGAGAGGAGCAGGAGAAGGAGCGGGGGAAGGAGCCGGGAGAAAACCGGGATAAGAGCGGGAGAGGACCGGGAGAAAACCGGGATAGGAGCGGGAGAAGGAGACGGGAAAACACCGGGATAACACCGGGATAACACCGGGATAAGAGCAGGAGAGGACAGGGAGAAGGAGCCGGGAAAACACCGGGATAAAACCGGGATAGGAGCGGGAGGAGCTGGGAGAAGGAGCTGGGAGAGCACTGGATAGGAGCGGGAGAAGGAGCTGGAAAACACTGGGATAAAAACTGGATAGGACTGGGATAGGAGCGGGGGAAGAGTGGGAGGAGCTGGGAGAAGGAGCCGGGAGAAAACCGGGATAGGAGTGGGAGAAGGAGCCGGGAAAACACCGGGATAACACCGGGATAGGAGCGGGAGAAGGAGCCGGGAGAAAACCGGGATAACACCGGGATAGGAGCGGGAGAAGGAGCCGGGAAAACACCGGGATGACACCGGGATAAGAGCAGGAGAGGACAGGAGAAGGAGCTGGGAAAACACTGGATAACACTCGGATAGGACTGGATAGGAGCGGGGAAGAGCGGAGGAGTTGGGAGAAGGAGCTGGGAGAAAACTAGGATAGGAGGGAGAAGGAGCTGGGAAAACACTGATAACACTGATAGGAGCAGGAGAAGGAGCCAGGAAAACACCGGGATAACACTGGATAGGAGTGGAGAAGGAGCTGGAAAACACAGGGATAACACTGGGATAGGAGGGAGAAGGAGCTGGAAAACACAGGGATAACACCGGATAGGAGCGGAGAAGGAGTTGAGAAAACCGATAACACTGGATAGGAGCGGGAGAAGGAGCTGAGAAAACTGGATAACACTGATAGGAGCGGGAGAAGGAGCCGGGATAGGAGCGGGAGAAGGAGCCGGGATAGGACCGGGAAAGCACCGGGATAAGACCGGGACAGGAGCAGCGGAGGAGCCGGGAGAGCACCGGGATAAGATCGGGGGAGGAGCCGGGATAGGACAGGGATAAGACAGGGATGGGACCAGGGGAGGAGCGGGAGGAGCCGGGAGAGGAGCGGGATAGGAGAGGGGGAGGAGAGGGAGGAGCCGGGATAAGACCGGGGGAGGAGCGGGAGGAGCCGGGAGAGCACCGGGAGAACACCGGGATAAGACCGGGAGAACACCGGGAGAGCACCGGGATAAAACCGGGATAAAATCGGGGAAGGAACGGGAGAATGAACCGGGAGAGGAGCAGGAGAAGGAGCCGGGAGAGGACAGAGATAGGACTGGGATAAGACAGGGATGAGTCCAGGGGAGGAGCGGGAGTCAGGAAAGGACCGGGATAAGACCGGGATCGGACCGGGAGAGGAGCGGGAGGAGCCGGGAGAGGACCGGGAGAGCACCGGGATAAGATCGGGATCGGACCGGGGAGGACCGGGATAAGATCGGGATAGGAGCGGGAGGATCCGGGAGGAGTCAGGAGAGGACCGGGAAAGGAGAGGGAGGAGCCAGGATAGGACGGGATCGGACCGAGGGAGGAGAGGGAGGAGCCGGGATAAAACCAGGAGATCACCGGGATAAGACCGGGATGGGAGCGGGGGAGGAACGGGAGGAGCCGGGAGAGGATCAGGATGGGATCGGGATGGGATCGGACCGGGAAGGAGCCAGGATAGGATCAGGATGGGATCGGACTGGG